TTTTTTAAGATTTTACTTATTTGAGCGAGAGAGTGAGCAAGAGAGAACACAAGCGGGGGGAGGGGCAGAGGGAGAGGGAAAAGCAGACTCCCTGCTCAGCGTGGAGTCTGACGTGGTGCTCGATTCCAGAACCCTGGGATCATGACCTGAGCAGAAGGCAGATGTTCAACCAACTGAGCCACCCAGGTGCCCCTTGAGTCCATCATCTTGAGTGACTTCAGTGTCCAACTAGATGATCCCATTCAATGTTCTGGCTTCTCCTTTCTTTGATTTCTTTACCAATAATGTCCACCACCTACATTCTACTTCAGTTGCTTATGGCCTTACCTTGTCTTTTCCATTACCCAAGAATTATCCTACTTCTGAAATCATGTATTCAGACATTCCATTTTCTGACCACTACTTCCTGAATTTACAGTGTAATCATTCATTTGTTTCCACTTCACTGGGGCCTATAACCACTGACTCTTACTTGCTTCTTATTAATTCTGATTCCCCTGTTATCTTTATTTCTCTCCTTACACACTTCAGAATCTATGATTCATAATTTCAATGATTTTCTTACCATAGTTCTAAACTCTCTTGCCGTATCTTTTTATTGTGCTTTCCTGGGGGGAAAAAGCCCAATCTGGGTAATTCCAACAGTTTGGCTTCCTTGTGTTGTTGAATGCTGCTGGAAAAAAATTTTCATACAACCTGGAAGATTGATACTAAATAATACCCATAATATTCAATACCTATGAGAATGTTCATGGTGATATTGTTTATTAGAGTAAAAGAAAAATGGAAACAACTTCAATGCTTATAAATAAGGACTTAGGTAAATTATGGTGCAGCCACACCATAGAATATGAAAAGGAAATGTCCAGATGTAAAAAATAAAGAGAGGTAAGTACTTGAGGTGATGCTAATGGCAGTCCAGGATGGTGTGGGGTGTGGATTATTGAATTTGTTAACTGCAAGGGGCTTGGGTTTTGCTGCTTATCTAGATGGAACTAAAACAACTATCTATCATCACAAAGAAATGGCAAGGTCTTTGAGTGGGATCCGAATTAAAAAAAAAAAAGTTTCTCTTGAGATATTGAAATCCGGTTCCTACCTCTTGCCCTGGTTTTGAGTCCAAAATGTGAACTATGTAGAAACCCAAAGCCACAAATTAAACTGGTTTCAGGTCAATCTTACCTCTGTGTTAGATACAAAATTTATCACTTTGTAGGAACACTGCCATAGCCCAAGCCACAAGGAAAGCCCCACTGAAGATGAGTTCACAATCCAAAATTACAAAACACATGAGCAAACAGTTCACATGAGGAATGGTCAGCAGAAATAACAAAGGGCAGAGTTACACAAACACTTCACCAATAATTTCATGTAATTAAAGGCATAAAATAAGGACTTGATCTTCTAAAATAAAATGCAAGATAGTAAAGAACAGATGGCAAAACAAACAAACAAATAATAGAACCAACCCCAGAATGAAAAAATATAGTCATTGAGTGAAACTGTGAACATTAAAGATAAAGAGATCTTAAAAGCAGTAAGAGAGAATAGACAGGTTATCCATAAAGGAATTAAACTCAAAGCAGAAATCTTAAACGATGAAAAACAGAAGACAGTGCAATGTTATTTTCTAAGTGCCAAGAGAAAATAACTATTAATCTAGACTTTTATACCCAGCCAAATTATCATTCAAGACTGAGTGCTAAATAAAGACAGGTCCATCATTTAACACCAAGTGCTGAATAAAGAGAATTTACCACAAATAAACTCTTATTTAAGAAAAAAAAAAACCAAAGGATAAGAAATTTTGATCCCAGGAAGTAGGAAATGCAAGAAGTAAGGCCAGCGCAGGGGACCATGAACTAGGATTGGTAAGTAGGAAGCCTTCCACTAGTGACTACAAAACTTGTTGCAGCGTGCTTGCAGATTGCTGGCAGTCCCCCTTGATGTAGGAGTTAGAAGAACAGAAGCACACTAGAAACAGAAAGGAAAGCCCCTTCCTCCTGGGTGAACCTCTTGGTGTCATCTACTGACACTGTTTAACATTACAACCTGTCAGCCGGTAAAGGAGAAATGTCTCAGGGTCCAGGTCCAGGAGCACACAATGCGGAGTGAGTTTGAGCCAACAGGCAATACACTGGTAACTGGCATGGCAATGAAGGAACAAAGAAACTGGTAAACATAGGCAAATCTAAACAAGCACCATGTGACTAAAATAAGAATAGCAGAAACAAATTTGGGAGATGCAGAGGAATTGTGGCAGGCTGGTCTAGGGGTGCTCCTAACTGTACACGCTGAGGGTCTGCTGCACCCTGGCTCTCCCTCAAAGCTGTTGATTTTGGTGGTGAGGATGTTCTGGGAGGGGCCCAAGAAAGCCATCCTGGTAACAGGACCTTCACCACAAGTGAAGCAAAACCAGAGAGATCTCCAAGGAGAAATGGACAAATCCACAATCATTTTTTGAAATCTCAATATTCTTTTCTCAATCATCAGAAAGACAAATAGATGCAAAATCCAGATATATAGCAGACTTCAACAACATTAGCAAACAACTTGAGCTAATTGACATTTATAAAACACTCCATCCAACAACAGCAGAATAAATATTTCTTTCAAGCACATAGGGGATATTTGACCAATACAGTGTATATTCTGGGCTAGTAAACAAGTCTCAGTAAACTGAAAAGTATTCAAGTCATAGAGAGTGTGTCCTCTGGCCACAGTGAAATTAAATTAGGAATCAGTAACAAAGATTTCTAGAGAATCTACAAATATCTGGAAACTAAATAACAGACTTCTAAATAACCCATGGACCGGAGAAGAAATAAACAAGGAAAATTAAAAGTATTTTGAACTGGATGAAAATGAAAACACAACATACCAACATTTTCTCTTTTATGGAGAAAATTTTCAGGGCACTATCAGTAGAAGCAACGAGAACGGATACTGGCCAGAAAAATCAGATGACCAGCATACTCAGTGACACCAATTTTAGCAATCACTCCTAAGGAATCAGTCCAAGAATGAAGAATTCTGCATGTGTAAAGATGTTCATTTCAGTATTGTTTATAAAAGAAAGTTTTGTCAAACTGTGTATGTTATCATGCATTCACCTGAGATATGTTGGATGTGGCACAACTCAGAGCAATGCATGGGATATAACATGAAGTGGGAAAAGAAGCAATTTACAAAAGGACCAGCATACAATGAATACAGATTTATTTAAAAAAAACCTGTACTTGGTAAGATAATGGAAAAAAGAAAACCATGAAAAAGAAGATGCCATTGATTTTAGAGAAGTGGGATTATGGCTGATTCCTATTCTTTATCTTCCCAACTTTCAGCAATGCAGTCATAACATGATGTTGACTGGGGCTTTTCCTGTTACATCAAAAGTTTGGCTAAAGTTCCACTTTCTCAAAGAGCCTCAATGAGTTGCTAGACATAAAGCAGTCCTGTGACCATCACCCATCATCATGCACCGGTAGACTATATGGAAAGACTTGAAACATGAAAGGGAGATTCATTACATAGGAGAGTAGATGTAGGCTTTGTGCTAGGGGAGAGTAATGTACGAGGAGAGTGGGTACTCCCTGACCCCTCACGGATCATGTGGGGAAAGCTCTAAGAGAATGGTCAGAGGGGCCACAGAGAGAGATCTATGCTGAGCTGTAGCAACTCTAGGCCTCCTCCCTACCCTGGCCCCAGACTGCAGTCCGACAGGTGCACCATGAACGACTGGGAGATTGACATGGGTCCCTGGAGTTTGGAGGATGAGTGAGACTGGTGCCAACTTCCCACCTGGGGAGTACTTAAGGCAAGAGGCAGACCAGAGAGGCCCCTAAAGGCAGGAAGAGGAGTTGGCAGCAGTAATGCCTGCACTGCCATTTGGGGTTGCAAGGATGTGTGTGTTTACCACGGGCCAGTTGGATGCTGCATGTACATCCCGCCAGTTGAGGTAATGCTATAAAACTTGACCTTGCTCCTTGGTCTCTGCCTTTGTGGATGTTATACTCTGAGGGACAAGCAGATAGTAATCAAAGAATCATACACATAAATATAAATCTAGTTGTTAGAAGTCCTAACGTGGAAGGTACATTGTGTTACAAGAACACTTAACAGGGACATTAGTCTAGTTAGAGAGGTCTGGGAAATTTCCTCAAGGAATTGATGTATGAGATCCCAAAGTAGGAGTTAACTAGAGGAACTTTAGGGGGAGGGTTGAGGGCATTTCCAGGGGGAGAGAACAACATACACCAACTTCCTAACAGCAGCAGGAGCATGGTGCGTGCAAGCAACAGAAGGAAGGCCAGTTGGGCAGAAAGTGAGGGGGAGCATGTGGAGAGGTGCAGAACCAAACCGTGGGCCTTGGAATTAGTTCTTTATCTTAAGAGCCCTGGAAAGTTATTAAACTATTTACAGCTGGCGACGATCTTCCAAGACTCATATTTTGAATGGATCGTTCTGGCTACAGTGTGGAGAACAAAACATCAGGTGAATATGTGCAGGTGTAGACCTCTTTCATTAATTTTCCCTGGAATATAGTGGGACATTTTGATCTTCAGAGTATTTCTTTTGAGATTCAGAAAGGTTTCTGATATTATACTTTCGGATATTGCCTCTGATCCATTTAGTGTTTTCTTCTTTAGAAATTCTTTAATACTTGCAGTGGATCTTTGCAACTCACCTTCATTCGGTAATCATCGTAATTTTGTTTCTTTCCCCCTGTATTCTGTGAATATTTACATTTTTGTGCAAGGTCCATCATTCCATTTACTGTTTCCAGTTCAGGCTATATTTGACTACTGTGTTCAATTCATTTTATTGGACTTAATGCCTTCTTATCTCAGTCTGTTATCTTCACATGGCCTGCTTCGTCCTCTTGTACTTGACTGAAATCACAGAACAGCTATTTTAAAATATTTCTCTTTTCTTCTTTTTTCAAATAAAGGCATATTCTCCGAAGTTCCAGGATGCTGCTCTCTTCTCACGAGCTGCAGATACCCTATCACAGCGCTGGCCTCTTGGGAAGCATAAAGCGTCAAGAACTCATGGAACTCATGGAACTCATGGCGTTGACGGACTGACGGACTGGTGGAGCTAGTGAGGGTGGAGCGTGATCACGGGATGATGATGATACCGATGTTGGTGGTGGAGAGATGCTGAGTTGGGTGATAATACTGAGGGCAGTAATGCACTAGGGAAAGGGTGATAATTTGGGAGCGATGGCAAATAAATGCAAGGTGAACACCAGCAGGGTGATGTGGCTGTAGTGATGTAAAGTCTGATGGACGTGACAGGTGATGGTGGTGGTGAAGGTGAAGGTGCAAGCACATGCTGGTGTACACACTTGGGGTAAAGTCGGGTAAAAGAAAGCAAGTGTCTTCTGAGGCCCCTGAGGGACACTGGGTCACTTGTGATCTTCCTGAGTAGCTGCTGCCGTTCGCCCAGCTGTCTAACAAGCTGAAGTTCTTAATGATGCTCCTTCCATATTCTTAGACACGGAATTTAACAAGCCCCCCCAGGACTTCTCACTTCAGAGCAACTCCGCTGTGGCTTAGTTGGGCCATAGCCAGCCAGGACCTCTTGGGGTAAAGGGACCCAGGAGTGGCTCCCAGTAACTGGGGAACAAACTTGGAGACTCACAGCAGGGGTGGGGGGAGGAAGAAGAGTGATCAAGACGTTTACTTCTGGCTTAATTGAGCTGAGAAAAGTGTAGCTCTGTATAACTGACAGTTCTTGTATCCTCCTGGGAAGCGTCAAGCTAATGCAGAGCTGGCGGGGAATTCTCAGTAGCTCAAAGCCTGGGGCCGGGAATGACGCTTGGGAAGCCACATGCGCAGTCCCAAGGCGGGATCCAGATTCAGCTGGTGGATGCTGCCTGAGAAGTTTTTCTCCGCCTTGAGCTAGCCTTGACGCATAAGTCAGTGACCGAGTATCAGCGCTATTAGGAGCCTGGAAGCTGACAGTGATGGCCCAATTACACCAGAAACCCCGAAGGTGCTTTTACTGCCATTCGTAACTTCCCTTTATTTTTCTCTAGTTATACAAATGACCATTAATACAGTTATTATAAACATTGAACCAATACAGATAAGAAAAAGTCCCCTTTGATTCTCTCTTCAAGGCTAGTCCCCTTAAATCTGCAAAAATCAAAACACACAGTAAAGATATAGTCTTAATAATTTTATTATAATAATTTTGACAATTTTGGTGAACTGGATAAGTGAACTAAAAGATGCATTAAAGGAATAAAGAATATATGACCACATGCATAGTTGCAGAAAAAAAACATTTACTAAAAACTCTAATACTTCTTTTCTCTCAGCTTTATGGAAGTGTGACTGACAAACATTGTATAGGTTTAAAGGGTACCATGCGATGTTCTGATAATATGCATACATTGTAAAATGATTACCACAGTCGAGCTGGTTCAATCAAGTGCTTCTAGTTTCTTAAGGTGAATGAGATGATTTGAGATCTTTCTTATTTTTATTTT